AAGCTGGCGGGCAGAGGCAGGGGGTGGCTCCAGCCTGGGGTCAAGAAATCAGGCCCAGGAGCTGGACCAAGCTGTGCCGGGGGAGCTAAGTGTTGGCCAGGCAGCTGAGGTTCCTGGGGAACCTGGGGCCAGGCAGCATCACCCTGGGGACCCAGAGGCCAGACTGGGAGCTGCTCGGGAACCCAGAGCAGGCCAGACTGGAAGGGGTGACCCCATCTCAGAAGTCAAGCCTGGAGGTCGGGCGCTGGGCAGGGATTCTAACAGCCTCTTCCTTTCTCTAGCCACTTTCCAGTTTGCAGAGCGCTTTCCTGCCCTTCCTCAGACTTGGTCCCCTCGGCCCTCTGGAAGCAGGGGGGTGGTGGTGGCGGCAGCAGCAGGAAGTAGGAAGTGTCCTCACTTCATGGCAGAGGAAACCAGAAGTGATAGCCTGACACACAGCTAGCAAGCAAATGATGGAGCGCGGATTCCAGCGCAGGCCTTCTGGCTTTAGGTCCCGTGCTCTATCTGTAAAATGCTAGCTGTGTAAGGGCCACCCAGAGACAAAGGCAAATCCCAGTTCACACCCCCTCCCCCCCCATGCAGGAAGTGGTTTTTGAGGGCAGATGCAGAGCCCAGCATCTGTGGTGGATGTGATGAGTCATCTCAGGGTGAGACCTGTAGGTTGACTCGGGGGTCAGGAGACCTGTTCCATTTAGTAGCTGTGTGACATTGGGCCAGTCACTTCCAGCAGCCCACTGCCACCCCAAACTCCAATAGCAGGTTGGTAGGAGTGAGGGAGGAGTCTGGGACCCAGAAGATGATCTGGGAGTCCTTCCTGCCACCCCTTCCCGGCCTAGTCTGAGCCCTGGATTGGACTGGGGGCAGAATTTGATTAGATCTGAAACAGCAGCTTCATTTAGAGGGCCTGGCTCATTTCCTCTGTGCTTCTAGCAGGCAAGACATGGACAGAATTAACACTGCGCCAGCCAAGCCAAAGAAATGATGGATGGGAGAGAGACAGACTCCCCACAGGAAGGGGGCAGCTGCCCGAGCACTCCGGACCCAAGGCCCTGGGCCAGCAGGCTCATCTCTCCGGGGAACCGGGGCTGGATTCTTATCACCCCAACCTGTTGCAAAGCTAACTGGGTGTTACCAGCCACCTGTACCTCCTCCTCCGTCTGAGCATTAAGACCTTAAGCGTTAAGACCAGTGGTCCAGCCAGTTTTTTTCTGCTCAATGGAGGGGCAGGGATTGTGTGTGACAGATTCAGGGTTTCACTCGGTACCCGGAGACCGAACGAATGCGTGTATGTCAGTGTGCGTGCGTGTCGCTGTGGTCCTTCCCCACCCCCACATCCTGCTCACACTGCCCAGAGCAGCTTTGACCCAGAAGGGCCCTGCTCCTGTTACACTGTTCCTCACAGGACAATCCCACGCCTGGCATCCATTGTGACATACTCTCATATTTATCTCTTTTCCTGTTCTCGTTCCTTCCCTTGCCACTGCTGCCCCCCAGATTTCTGAGGTTTCCTGATTTGCTCCAGAAGCCCCCTCCCCCCAAGGTGTTCCCAACCCCAACTCTCCCAGGAGCAGGGCCCCTTGGAACCCATCTGGGCCCACACAAACCCCACCCCGTGGGGAAGAGCCAAAGAGCGCTGGCTGGTCCTTCTTTGCCAGTATCTGCCCAGGTATGTATGGGGCCCAGGTGAGGGGCCCCAGGTCGTGCGTGGCCTCCGCCCTTTCCCTCTAGGCTCCTGGGCCCACCCTACTTGCGTGCCAGGGCCCAAAGAAGCCAAGGGGACACCCTTGGCCGGGAGGCATGAGTGCGGATACTCAATCAGCCTCCAGTTTCGTAGGTGACTCCCTTTGCTTCCAGGGCCTCAGTTTCCCCATCTGTAAAATAAGACTGGACTAGTGATAGCTACCACGTTAGTAAATGCTTCTCCCATGGCCAGGCCCCATGGACCCCCTCACCCCCACCCCCCAGGATAGTCCTGGGAGTCCTGGGAATCGGTGTGCTATCATGGCCCCGCTCCAGGTGAGGAGATACGGGGACCGAGAGGCTGGGAGGCTGGCCAGGGTTGCACAGCTGGAAAGTGACACCCCTGATCCCTGGGCACCCTGGGAGCCCTTGGGTCCTGGGTGGTTTCCCTGCTGCCTGGGGAGGGGGTGGGGGGAAGGCCTCTGGGGACAGCGCACTTCCCCTCCTGGCTTTGTTTGGTTTGGCCTCAGTTTGGGGCAGGATTGGCGGAGGCTGACTGACTTGCATTTCTGGTTTTGGGTCTGTGGCTGCGCTTTCGAGAGGGGGGTGGCAGGCTCAGGCTCAGTCACCGCTGGGACAGGCGGGCCCCACCCCCAACCCCTAGGAAAGGGGAACCGAGGCCTGCTCCCCCCACTCAGGGCCACGCAGTGGGTGGTGCCAGGCCCTGAGGGCACCGCTGCTGCTTCCTTCTCTCTGCTGCTTCCTTCTCCCCGTCCTTCCAGGTTGGGGAGGGGGTGGCCCCAGGGGAGGGGACTGAATGTGGGGCAGCCGGGAGCTGGCTGTTTGTTTTCCTAGAGGAGGTGCTCCCTGGTGGGTGGGATGAGCAGCGGAGGTCTGGGCCTGGCTGCTCCTGCTCAGGAATGAGATCAGAAGCAGGCCTGGGAGGGAGGAGCCAGAGGCCCCGCTCTCACCCCAGTCTCTCCCCAGCCCAGCCCGGATTGGTGCTGGTGCTCTGGGGCATGTGTCCCGGGCACTGGGTCACTGTCCGGGCTGGGCCCTGTCGTCCTCTCTGGAGAGAGCTTTCTCTGTCCCTGGGAACAGCCCTTAGTTTCGACATGGGATTTGTGGATTGAGAGGCCCCCATCCCAGTCACCAACTTTGGCTCTGGGTGTTTGGCTGAGCTGGCTCCAGGGGCCCCTGGGAAAGATGTGCCGCGGTTGGAGGCTTGTGACTTCAGCAGTGCCCTCTGGACCCATTGTTCCAGTCGCCACAGCGGCCACCACCACCACCAGCAGCCCATTCAAGAGCTTTGGATTTTCGGGGAGCCTGGCTGGCTCGGTCTAGTCGGTAGACCGTGGGACTCTTCCTCCTGGGATCATGGGTCCAAGCCCCACTTTGGGCGTAGAGCCGACTCTAAAAAAAAAAAAAAAAAAAAAAAAAGAGCCTTATACTTCAATGCTGTGTTCTCCTGGTCTGTCACTTGTGCATGTTGTCTCACGTAATGGGTGGGGACCTTGAGACCCAGAGGGTTCAGTGACTGGCTTGCCCCGGCCCCCCGCTGTGTGAATTGCCCTTGGCTCCTGTCCCTCTCTGGGCCTCAGCCTCCCTCCCTGATTTGGGATCATGGACATTTCAAGGGCTGAGGCTGTGAGGTGTGAGGGGTCCCCAGGGTGGAGCCATCTCCCACCTGTGGGTACGACCTACAGGGCAGGGAGTCCGTGTGAGTGATTACCTGTCTTCGGCTGTGCCTGAGAACCAAGCACTGGCCAGAGAGATCATCCCAGAGTCCTCAGAGGCCCTCCCCTGGTCTGGCTCAGCCATCCTCTGGCGGGGGTGGGGGGTGGGGGGTGGTGCAGGGAGGGAGCTCCCCTTTCACTCTCATGCTCCCAGGCGGTGGCTCTTGCCCACACCGCACAGATGCCAGGGGGCCCCTGATGCACGTGGGACAGACCTGATGGGACAGACCTGATGCACGGGCTGCCTGGAGCCCTGGCTGGGCCCTGACCCCCAGACAGGAGCCTGGCTGGGTCTTCGCCTTCACAGCCTCCCCAGCACTGAAAAGACCCCTCGGCTCTGGGCCTAGCCTTTCGGCGCCGGGCAGCGGGGCAGTAGTGGAAGAGTCACTGCTCTGCGCTCAGCTGTCATCCATCAAACGGACTTAATGGTCTCTACAGCAAGGGCTCGTAACCTATGTTCTGGGACTGCTTACCTCTCAGATTCTCAGCCAGGGTCCGTGGGTGTCCCTGTGCACGTGCACGTTCCCATCGATCTGTACTGTCCCCAGGGATGTGTGGCCACTTTCCCCTTCATTAGTTCTAGATGGCCACGGCCTCTTGATGGGCGAAGCCCAGACTCCAGATAGTTTCCACTCCAGCATTCCAAGACCTTGGGTGTGATGAGGGGCCCAGCCCAGGCGTGAGACCTACGTCCCCCACATCTCTCCCACATCCCCCTCACGTCCCCCCTCGTCCCCCCATGCGGCTCAGCACTGCTGATTGCTCCAGACTCTCTCTGAGCGAGCTGCCCTTCAGGCTCCACCAAGAGCACCATCTTCCCCTTTGCAAATGAGGCCTGTAGGAATCCAGCAATAACGCCAGGGGTCCTGAGGGCTGTGTGTCAGGCAGGAAATGCTTTCTTTACTGTGTGGAACTCCTGAGTTTCCTCCAAACTCAGTTTAGAGGAACCACTGGGTGGATGATCCCTCCGTGAGGTCCCCTCATGTGCCTGTGACATCTGCGTAGTCCAAGTTGTGGCCAATATTCCGAAGTTCTGGTTTCATTCCATTTTACTAGCTTCAAAGAGAGACTTAAATATTCAGAACAAGTTCTTGTTTGAATATGATTTTTTTTTTTTTTTTTTTTGGCCAGGTCCAAAGTCCTATCACTTTGTGACTGCTCTGGCTTGGGACTTGGTTTGGTTCTGGTTCATGAGGGCAGAGACTGCCGGGCTCCCCTTTTACTCGCAGAGACACCACGACACCTCCCTTGGAGGGCTGCTGGGAAGATCACACAAGAGGAGTGTTTAACTTGGCGTGGCCCCGGCGTGCAATAGGAGCCAGATAATAGCGGTTACTTCTTCTTCCCCTAAATGACCAACCACGCTTTTGATGGAGCGGACATAAAATTCAAGGGAGAAGATAAGGGTGGGAACCCGTGGACAGCTAAGCCAGAGGGGCTTTCTGTTTCTATCTGGTGCTTCAACTTTCAGACTGCGGGGAGTCAGGTGTGGGGTTCAGCCTCTGTGTTGCCGGCTCATGCACCGTGCCTAGCATCTCGCAGCCTCCTCTTCTGAAGCTTTCTTGTTTGCCTCTTGTTTCCCAGATGTTTGAGCCAGAGGCAGATGAGAAGCGAGAGATGCCCTTGGAGGAGGGGAAGGGGCTGGGTGCCGAGGACCCCCCGCCCAGCAAGGACCCCTCTCCTGGCCAGGAGCCTCCTTCAGGACAAGACGTACCCCACAACAAGGACTCCTCTTCCGGTGAAGAGCCTTCTCCTGGCCAAGAATCACTGTCCAGCAAAGACTCACCTTCCTGCAAGGAACCTCCTCCAGGCCAGGAGCCCTCGCCAAGCAAGGACTCCCCACCATGCCAGGAACCCCCCGCAGCCCTGGCCCTCCCTCTCTGCCAGGACCTTCCCGCTGGGCAAGAGCCCCCTCCCAGCCAAGACCTCCCTGTCACCCAGGATGCCTCTGCTCAGGAGCTTGCACCCAGTCAAGACGTGCCCCCCAGCCAGGTTCCCCCACCGGCTGAGGAGACCACAAGCTCTGGGGACCCACCAGCAGCCTCCAGGGACCCGCCTGTGGCCCCCAGGCCAACCTTCGTGATCCCCGAGGTCCGGCTGGACAGTGCTTACAGCCAGAAGGCCGGGGCGGAGGGGGGCAGCCCGACCGAGGAGGAGGAGGACGCCGAGGAGGCTGAGGAGGGGGACGAGGGGGACGAGGAGGAGGAGGAGGACGACGACACGAGTGATGACAACTACGGAGAGCGCCGCGAGGCCAAGCGCAGCAGCATGATCGAGGGGGGCCAGGCCGAGGGCGGCCTCTCCCTGCGGGTGCAGAACTCCCTGCGGCGCCGGACGCACAGCGAGGGCAGCCTGCTGCAGGAAGCCCGCGGGCCCTGCTTCGCCTCCGACACCACCTTGCACTGCTCGGACGGGGAGGGCGCCGCGTCCACCTGGGCCATGCCTTCGCCCCGCACCCTCAAGAAGGAACTGGGCCGCAACGGTGGCTCCATGCACCACCTCTCCCTCTTTTTCACAGGACACAGGAAGGTAAGAAGGCGGAGGGTGGGTGGGAGTGGGTCCTGAGTGAGGACGTGGGGAGGAGGGAGCTGCGGGGGAAGCGCACCACCTTCCCACCCCGCGCCTCTCAGCCTTCCCCGGAGCCTTCTACCCATTTGACAGAGGATACCACTGAGGCACAGAGGGACCGAGGAGGCCACACCTGCACCTATGCCCATGACTCCGTGACTCTCTGTGCTGTGTTCTTACGGCTCCTTGGGACTCGGGGGCGGGGAGGGGGTCCCCACCGAAAATAGAGCAGGTGTGGCCTTGCCCAGGACGTCATGTGCTTGGATCCAAACTGCGTGAGACGTGGGCTGAGGAGCTGTGTACTGTAGTAGAACAGTTAGACTAGGCCCAGGCCTAGTCAGACCAGAAGTCCGTCAGCCAACAATGACAGCACACATTTACCCTGTGCTGGCATTATGCTAAGCAATTTATTTTATTTTATTATTATTATTATTTGAAAGAGTGCACAAATGGTGGGGAGGAGGAGCAGAGGGAGAGGGAGCAAAGTTGTTAGCAGGCACCATGCCCCGCACAGAGCTCGATCTCAGGACCCCGAGATCCTGACCTGAGCCCACATCAAAAGAGTCGGACGCTCAACTGACAGCACCACCCAGGCGCCCCAATTCTAAGCAATTTCACTGACCTCACTAATGAGGAGTGGATGCTGTTGCTGCTCCCTACAGATGAGGAAACTGAGGCACTCTAGGGTTATCTCACTTACACCAGGCCGCATAGTTTATAAATGTCTGCACCAGAGTTAGGTTCTGGCTCCAGGGCTGGGGCTCTTCACCACCATGCTATTTGCCTCTAACAAATATTTATAAATAGATGAATAAGTGTTTATTGATTTCCTGCCGTGTGCCAGGCCCTGTGCTCTGCATCTGCAGGGCTGCAGGAATGTGTGAGGCCGACCTCAGCTTGTGAGGGATGAGTTATCTGCCTGGGTCGGGAGGGTGGCCCCACAGTGGAAAGAGTGCATGCTGGCCCTGAAGCCCATTAGCCAGCTTGAGCCTGGGCTCTTGTCCCCCACGTACTGCGTGGCCTTGGGTGAGTCACTCACCTCCTGAGCCTGAGTGTCCTTCTGTGAAAAGCAGAGATTCATTAGACTCAGGTCCCAGGGTGGTTGAGGATGAGCCAGAAGAGCCCATTGCCCGGTGATGTTGGCGCAGGTGCTGGTGGATGCTTTTGAGGTGCTAGCAGCCAGCACGGCACAGGGCGTCACGACAATGTTGTAAGGCTAGGCAGGTGGGGGTGGGGGGCTCCACGGAGGGCAGAGACCTGGGAGTTCAGGGAGGAAGGATGTCAGGGCCTAGGGCCATTGGGGAAAGCTTCCAGAGCAAGATGCCCCTCGGCGGTTGAGCGGGTTTAGACTAGAGAGAGGATGAGACGGGCATTCTGTGAAAGTGGCCTGGACAGACTCTCCGTAGAAGCCACTTTGGCTAGAGCAGGGAATTCCTGAGACATGAGGGTGGCAGACATACGGCACTCATGCTGCCATCCCGGCAGCGCCCCCGGCAGACATGACCAGTGGATCCCAACACATCTCCTCACTGAGCTGGGCCGTGGCTTCAGAAGCCTTCTTAGCCTCGGCCACTAGCAATGGGGCTGACTTCGCACTTGGGAGGACGCTGCTGCAAGGTGTTTGGACTGGAAGGCCAGGCTGGGAGCCCCAGGAAAGGGTTTTAAACCGCAGCCCCAGAAATCAGAACTAAATCCCAAAGGAACCGGGACTGGATCTCCATTTCCCTGTCCACAAACACATGTGGTTCTAACTTTGATGTGCTCCACAATCACCAGGAGGAGGTTGTTAATATATAGATTTCCTTTTTCTTTTAAAGATCTTTTTTATTCATTCATGAGAGACACAGAGAGAGAGAGAGAGGCAGAGGCACAGGCAGAGGGAGAAGCAGGCTCCATTCAGGGAGCCCGACGCGAGACTCCATCCCAGGACCCCGGGGTCCCTCCCTGAGCCCAAGGCAGACGCTCAACCACTGAGCCACCCAGGGGACCCTAATATATAGATTTATAAGTCTCCAACTCCAGGCTCCCAGAATCAGAATTGCCAGCAGGTGGTACCCAGATGCTGCATCTTAAACAAGCCCCCTGGGGGCTGTGCTGTTCCCCATAGTTTGATTATCTCCGTCTTGGGCCATTTCTTGATGCAGCTTCCACAGGTGAGAGTCCAGAACTCTGTTCTACCCAGGTGAGGCCTCAGGCTCACTCAGACCAGGCCTGGCCACTCGTCTCTGGAGGGCACCCAGGTCCCAGGCCTCACCACCCTCCGGGCCTCCTGCTCTCGATTCCACACCCCACCCCCCCAATAAAAATACAAATATTTATTTACAGATAAATTCATGCACATTCACGCAAGCCCTTCTAGTTCCCCCAGACCAGCTGATCTGAGCTTCTATTTGGGGGCAGATACTTCTCTTTCGGAGTCCGGCAGGCCTGGACCAGCTCTGTCCTGTTTCAGCCTCCTCCTCTGGGAGCCCGAGGTTTTTGCTGGCATCCCCCCCTCCCTGTTTGGCCTCTTGTTTCCTTTCTTGGGCTTGAGCGACAGAGTTGGCAGGGGCCTCAGAGGCTGCGCGTCCAGGGTTTCCACTTACCCGGCTTCCAGTCCATCATCGTGTATATCCTGCTCGCTCCAGCCAGCCGGTTTCACTAAGAACCCTGCCCTTGAGGTCAAGGCTGGGTGAGCCCCTGGTCGTGTGCCATCCCTCCCTGGCAGGGGGCCTCGGGCAAGTCCCTGCTCTTTCTTGAGCCTCAGTTTTTCATCAGCGAAAGGGGCATTGTAATAATACCTCCTCTGTAGGGGAAAACCAAATAGCCTGACGCCGGTGGGGTGTTTCAGGCAGTGCCTGGTACTCCGCACTCGGTGGGTGCTCCATAAATGGGAATCGTGTTGCTGACGAGGACGAGGAGAGCAGCAGAGCGGTAGCAGGCCAACATTCACGGCGCCTCCAGCTCCCTTTTCTGGACCGTGCGGCGCTGGGGCAGGGTGGGGACACCTTGGCCTCCAGCGGGAGCCTGAGCCTCTGCACACAGCAAGTGATGCTGGAGCCAGGCCTGGCCTCACCCTGCCCAGTCCTCCCTGGCTCTACCCCATACCCTGCAACTGCAGACTGGTGAGGGACAGGGTCTGGGGGGCTGGCAGCTGGCGGGAGGCAGCGGGTTCCCCCGTGACTTCCATCTTCCTGCCCGGAGCCTGGCATGGGCCTGGCTTTCTAACATCTAACATGGGCCCGCCCACCAGGCTGTGCCAGGCAGGAGGTGAAGAGGAGAGGGACCAAGTCTTCAGGTGGAGTCAGGCAGACCTGGGTTCAAATCTCAGCTTTGCCTCCTCCTTCCTGGTCCTGAGACCTTGGCCACGTTATGTCTTTCTTTGAGCTTTCATTTTCTCTTATAAAGGGGGAGTGCTAGGTCTTCCTGGAGTTGCCCCAGGGTTTCGAGAAGGTGGCAGTGTGGGGAAAGCTCTGTGTCGGCGGCAGGGGTGAAACCCAGGAGGGCGGGATAGAGCTGGTGAGGTCCTGGGCTGGTCTCTGTGCTGCTGCGTGGCTAAGCTGAGACAGTCCCAGGGGCCACTGTCCCTACGTTACCAGGCTGCAACCTGTCACCCTGCTCTCCTGTGTGCGGAGTGAGTTCTCCGGGGAGTAGGAGCGTCTGAGCCAGACAGATCAGGGAGATGGTCCACTCGCCATGGTCCTTTTACAAATGGGCTGCCTGAGGTCCAGAGAGAAGACCTTCTCCCCCACCCAAGGTGAAGCTGGGGTGTCCCCTGGGCCGGATCCGATCCCTGCGAGTTGCGTTGTCTCACAGTGCCCCCTGCTGCCCGACCCCTGCCTCGCTGGCTGCCCCCTGGCGGCCCCGCAGCCCTGCATCTGCTCTTTTCCCGGGGGGGGGGGGGGGGGGGGGGGGGGGGGGGGGGCTCCCCCCAGCGAATTTGGGTCTGGGCCTAGCTTGCTGCCATTTGGTTCCACCTCAGCCCGGCCTGGCCTGGCCCAGGGTCGTAGGTCGTTCTTTGACAGCGAGGAGACAGAGGCTGGGGCCCTCCCTGGCCATGCTTCCTTCTCCCCGCCTCCTGCGGGGACCAGCGTGGGCAGGGACTGGCTGCCACACACCAAGCTGCCCGCCGGGCGGAGGTCCAGACAAGAGCACCCCAGAGATGCCTTCCGGCCCCAAGATGTGACACCACCACAAGGTTCTGTGGGGTCCACCAGGCTGGACCAGGTCAGCGAGAGCAGCCAGGCGAGGCTCCTGCTCCTGAGACCCCCCAGTCATGGGTGGGCCAGGCCTGAAAGTCTCTGCCACTTGCCAGCTTATGGAGCCCCGGCAAGCTACGGAACCGCTCTGGGCCTCGGTTTCCCCCACTGTAAAATGGGGCAAATGACAACACACTGTTCTCAGGGCTGTCGCGAAGATAAACAAGGTAAAGTAGGTTAAGCCCCTTCACATAGCGAGAGCTCAGTAAACACTGGCACCATGCACCGTAGCGCTTGCACGTACCGGGCACTGTGCTAGGCACTTCCCGTGTGTTCGCTTAGTTAATTCGCACCCTGCTCCTGTGAGGCCGGTCCAGGTATTATGCCAGTTTTACAGATACAGAGACCGAGGCAGAGAGAGAGGGAGAGGTTGTGACCCGGCTGAAGTCAATCAGCTAATAAGTCACCGAGGTAGGATTCAAATCCGGACAGTGAGGAATTGCCACTCTTAACCACAACTATCATTATAGTTATAATTGCAGTAAGAATTATAGTTATTATTCCAGGAGGCGGGGAGCTCCCAGGCCTGGAGCGGCCGGGTGGGGGCTGGGCAGGCCCCAGGGATTCCTGCGTGGAGTGACGGGAGGCTGGTGGCTCCAGGCTCCCCTCGATTCCCCTTTCAGCAGGGAGGGCCCTGTAGAGTAGCAAGGCAGCGGGGAGCAGCTGGGAAGGAGCCGCCTTTTGTGTGCTGGGTCCGGGGCAGGCCTTGCCGTGGTTCCCAGAGAGGGGAGCCTTGGGGCCCACTGCGGGGCTGGGAATCAGACCCTGACTCTCTGGCTCAGTTTCCTCTCTGTCTGGCCCGCAGCGCCCCCCCCCCACCCCTAGTGTCTGGGTCCCCCCAGCTGCTCTGGGGGTCAACTCCCAGGGCCTGAGCTAGCAGGCTGGTGGCTGTGGGCTGGTCCCTGCTGAAGATGACACCTCCCCTCCCCCCCCACCCCTGACCCAGCAGTGGAAGGAAGAGCCCATTTCCCAGCAGAGCAGTGCAGAGGCTGGGGGTGCAGGCGGGGCGGGAGTGGCCCCCAGGCCCATTGTGTGGGCTCGATAAAGTACGGAAGCCGAGGTTAGAATGGGAGGAAGCCCAGCGCCCGTGGCCCTTTCCCACGGGTGGGGGCTCCGGGCACGGCCTCGCCAGGCCAGCGTGACTGCAGCCCCTGTGCACGGGGAGGCCACAGCAGTAAGACTCCGGGGCAGTGAACAGCCCTGCTTCCGGAGGGCGCGGTGACTCCTCCAACAGCCAGGGGGCTGTCACCCCGGCCCTGCTGTAGCTAAAGAAGCTGATGCTGAGAGGCCAAGAAGCCCCTCCAGAGCCAGTGGAACTAGGATCAGTACCTGCTTCCTGCAAAGCCGAGCTCTGGAATCACACACCATGGATGGGTGTATGCCTGTGTGTGCACGTACACACGCGTGTTTACAACCCCGGCGGGGCAGTGCTCTCAGGAAGGAGGTGGCACTTCCCCCGAGTCTTTTACTGAAAACATTCAAAGTGTGCGCCATCCTTACCTTTGAGTAGCAGCATCCTCTGGTGGAGAAACTCGGGTCTTAAATGCACACCGACCTGCCACTTCAGCGCTGGGTATCTTTGGGCAAGTGACTTGACTTCTCTGAACCTCCGTTTGCTTTATGGACTTATTCTGAAGATGAATGAGATAGTCTCTGGATAGTGCCCATTCCGGGGTCTGGGCTATAGTATGAGCTCCATAAAGGGAAGTATAATTCCCCGCTCCCTCCATCCATCCATCCGCCCATCCACGGTGGGCATTCCACGTTGGCTAGTCGCTCCCCCTGCTGGCTATCACTGCAGTAAGGCCACTTCTCTCCCCAAATTCGGAACACTTTAAGAACGAGCCCATTTTTATTTTACAAATGAGGAATCCACGGCCCAGGGTGGGGCTCATGGGGAGTCTGAGCTGAGATCCACACGGGGTGGTATTTTGTCTTGTCTGGGGACATAGTGCCCATGCCCGGCCTGCTCTGAGCTCTAGTTCCTCCCCCATCTCGGGGCATTTCCTGGGCCCCTGTTCTAGGGTGGCCCTGGCAGGGCCTTGGGTTTGGGCTGGAGAAAGATGGACAAGCACCAGCTGGGCAGGGAAACCGCAGACAGCTCTGGTAGAGACGGTGGGAATCTGGAGCCGCCTGGAGGAGAGGTGCGGCAGGCTGGGGGGAGGAGGAGAGAGGGCATTCAGGGAAGGGGAGGAGGCACAGGCAAAGGGGAGGGCCAAGGGGGTGGGGAGGTGCAGTCTGTGGCCGCAGGAGAGCAAGGGGGATAGAGCTGAAGCCTAGATTCAGGCAGTGAGGACCTCAAGCCTTGTTCCCCATCTGCTTTCCCTCATTTTTTTTTTAAGATTTTATTTATTCATTCATGAGAGACACAGAGAGAGAGGCAGAATCACAGGCAGAGGGAGAAGCAGGCTCCCTGCTTCTCCTGCAGGGAGCCTGACACAGGATTCCATCCCAGGACCCTGGGATCACCACCCAAGCCAAAGGCAGACACTCAACCACTGAGCCACCCAGGTGTCCCCTGCTTTCCCTCTTTGATTCATTCTTCATTTGACAAGTATTTGTTGAGCTTCTAACATGTGCCAGGCCCCATGAAGGTGACCCAGGCAGACAGAGGCCTTGCTCTTGAGAACTCACAGTCAAGCCCAGGGGAGAGACTGAGGAAAAGCCTTTTCAAAGGTGGTGCGGACCTCACAAGGGGTGAAGGGGCACAGCCTTGGCCTAGGGCTCTGGGAGTGCTCCCTAGGCCATGAAGCATTTCGGTGGCATACCCAAGGGCTAGGTCTTTCCTGAGGCTGGGTCTTGGGAGTCCAGGGAGATGGGAGGGTAACAAAAGCATCCCTGGTGGAAGGTGTAGCCCGTGGAAAGGCCTGAGGTGAGGGGGGGAGGTCAGGCAAAGACGTCCCATTTGGCTGGGGGGCAGGAGGGTGCTGGAGCAGGGGTCAGGCTGGAGAGGTAACGAAAGGAGTTGTAACTGATGTTAAAATGCAACTTTCTGGGCAGCCCAGGGTGGCTCAGTGGTTTAGCGCCGCCTTCAGCCCAGGGCGTGATCCTGGCGTCCCAGGAACGAGTCCCACGTCGGGCTCCCTGCATGGAGCCTGCTTCTCCCTCTGCCTGTCTCTCTGTGTGTGTGTGTGTCTCTCATGAATGAGTAAATAAAATCTTTTTTAAAAAAAAATGCAACTTTCTGTCCAGATCCAATGGCGGACCCTGTGTATCGTGTCACAGGGTTTAGATATTACCCTGGGGGCACTGGGCAGAAAGCCCAGCTGCTGACCGATCCCAGGCCTCTGCCAAACCTCACAAGCCTGAGTTGGCCATTATAATCTCGATTTTGAAATTAAGAAATGGAGGCTCACAGAGGGACAGTGATTGGCCAAGTCACGCTGCGGAACCCGTCCTGTAGCCCTGCTCTCCCGTCTGCCCTACTGCCTGCAACGATTAAGGGCTGTGACTCTGGCCCTGCCATCAGGGCTGTGACTCCGGCCCTGCCATCAGGATTGTGTCTCTGGCTTCTCCCTTGCAAACTGGGCTCCGAGTTGCATCAGGAGGAGACCCCTCTAGCTGGAGCATCTGTCAGCCACACTTGGTGGACAGACTGTTCCCAGAAATGGGTCTCCCTGTCCCTCACCTGAGGGGTAGGAGCTTTGCAGGAGAGGAGTGGGGCAGTTGGAGGAGCCCTTGGCTCCCTGAGCCTCTCTGCTCAGCCAGCAGCCGTCGGCTGCCCAGACCATAACGTGTCTATCTTCCTTCCACAGATGAGCGGGGCTGACACAGTTGGGGATGATGATGAAGCCTCTCGGAAGAGAAAGAGCAAAAACCTGTACGTTGCAAAGATCCATGATCCTCCACCTTGCAGTCAGGGAGACTTCTTCCCAAGCCTCTCTCCCTCCTCTATCCCTGGGCTTGTCTCTCCTCTGGGGGTACAGGTGAGGAGAAGGGGCCGTGCCCAGTCCTGCTCTAGAGAGACGCCAGTCCACAGCAAGACCTTAAGACGGGCCAGCAAAAAAAAAAAACCCCAAAAACCAAAACAAAACAAAAAAAAGACTGGCCAGCGGCCCCAGGGGGGGTCACCGGGGTCCTGAGCGTCCGCAAGGGCCTCAGCACGCAGGCAGAGTGAGGCCGCCTGCTGACTCAGTACCTGGAAGCCCCAGGGAACCACGCGGAGGCAGGCAGCCAGGTCGTCCTGGCCCCGGCCCAGCTGGGCAGTGGCTGAGTGACCCTGACAAGTGCTTTGCTCCCTCTGAGAGAGGACAGACAGTCCTCGGGATTCCCGCCTTCTCCCCGTCGGGGGCATTGCCAGGAGGTGGCGCTGCTGGTCCAGGTAGCCTGGCCCTCGCTCCCCAGCCTGCAGGCCGCACTCCTGGGCTTTACACTGCCGTTTTGGAGGTTTGTGAGCCGTACCCATTAAATTAACAGGGTGTGTGTGTGGGTTCTCCTTGGCTCTCCTTGGACACCGAGGCCCAAGGCCCTGGGGACTGGGTGGTGGAGGTGGGGGGGATGGAGAGGAGGCCCTGGGGCATGTGGTGGTATGCCCCCTGGGCCCCCTAGTGCTCATCATCATCTACCAGTTGGGCCTGGGGGAGGAGGACAGGCATCTTTCCAGATGCCTCCTGCAGCCACTTCCCTGGCCTCTACTTTGGCTGGAGTCCACTACCCTAGAAACTTTCTTCCCGGCTCCTCTGCCCTCTCCAGCTTCCTGTGGCAACAGTAGACTTCTCTCACTCTGCAGCCAGGAGCAATCACGCCCTTCTAGGGAAGGTGAAATGCACCAAAAATAGCTCTGTGTACCAACCGTTGGGTCCCGGTGTCACCAAAGCCACTGGGGGTGCCGCTCCCAGGGGTGGGGCGGTGGAGGCCGTGGAGGGCCAGCATCTGCCGTGCCAGAGCTGTCCCGGCCCGGTCCACTGACTCTAGCCTCCCTTCCTGGTGGGTGCTGCCTTTTGAAGGCCTGAAGCTCACCTTTTTTTTTTTTTTTTAATGTTTTTAAAGATTTTATTTATTTGACAGAGAGAGAGAGAACACAAGCAGGGGGAGCAGGAGAGGGAGAAGCAGACTTCCCACTGAGCAGGGAGCCTGATGCCGGGGCTCCATCCCAGGACCCCGAGATCATGACCTGAGCAGAAGGCAGACACTTAACCTACTGAACCACCCAGGCACCCCTGAGGCTCACATTCTTAAAAGCTTTGTCTAGGACTCTTAGGCTCTAGGGTAACAAAAAATAACTAATATTTATTGTGCCAGGCACTGTTATATGATCTAACTTAGTCTTTACCATTATTTCTATTTCATATTTCCTTTTTTTCTCACTTACTCTGTTTGACCAATGAGCAAATTGAAGCAAAAAGAAGTTACTTGTCCGAGGGTCATACAGCAAGTACGTGGTGGAGTGGGGATCTGAGACCTGGCATGCTGGCTCTAGAAATATCGATATACATGTGTATATATTTTTCCCCAGAGCCGTTATATTTGAAGTTCAGTGCAAAGCACTCTGAGGGAGGTTCACAGCAGCCCGGCCAGGTAGCCTCTGAGTGATGAGAGTCCATTCCCCAGAGGCCACTCATTCCATCTCTTCATGGCTCTGGTTGGAGGAAAGTGCTCCTTTAGCTTCTGCTTGTGGGTCCCTGTTCTGGCTTTTGGACCCACGTGGGAACACGGCGGGGCGGAGGGGGGGCGGGCTCTGAGCTCTGCCTTACAGTCAGACAGACCACTATGCTCCAGGAAGTCGAATGCTGGCATTCTAGTCACCCCAGGGCGCTCTAAGGGCCCCCATCCTCACCGAGAGGACTGCCAGGCCCTGGACTCCTTGGCCTTAGCCCAATGGCTTGGACTTGCAAGAGCAGGGTCCCCCATCACTGATGGATGAAAACCTGAGGTGCTGAGAGGTTAGGTAACTTGACAAAGAGCACACAGTTGGTACCTGCTGGGGTTGGGATTTGTCCCTGAGGCTCTGAGGCTCTGGAGTCCACACTTAACCTCCACAGGGCACCACCTCCCTTACCTACTTACCCAGGGTGTCCCATAGGTCTTAATGCCACTTTCAGCTTCAATGACTTCAGAAGTGCAAATACCACAAACCTACAAACACCCGCTTGCAGTTGCATTATTTACGTTTCTTTTACACTTACTTAGCTTTGCGAATTGGCAAAAAAAAAAAAAAAAAAAAAAAAAAAAAAAAAAAACAAGGGGGTGGGGGATCCCTGGATGGCTCAGCGGTTTAGCACCTGCCTTTGGCCCAGGGCACCATCCTGGAGTCCCAGGATCGAATCCCACGTCAGGCTCCGGCATGGAGCCTGCTTCTCCCTCCTCCTGTGTCTCTGCCTCTCTCTCTCTCTCTCTCTCTCTCTCTGTGTGTGTCTATCATAAATAAATAAACCTTTAAAAAAAACCCACAAAAAATGATTTTGCCAATACATTTTTTATCGTGACTTGGTTCCGGTCAGCATTTTTTATCTTTCACCAGAACAGAAACCAAAAATCAAAATTAAAAAAAAAAAAAGATGGTTCAAAAATCACAAAACTACATGTGCATTTTAAAAAAAATTTCCATAATTAAAATTCCAAACGACGTTTTTTGAAAGTTTGTAGGATTTGTACTTCTGAAGTTGTCTGAGCTTTGAAACCGTACTCAGACTTTGGGGACACCCTGCGTCTTCGCGGACGCTTGTACGGAAAGCCAGCGGCAGAGGCTGAGGCCGGGGAGCCTGGGCTGTTCCCCTGGAGGTGCCCAGGGTGGGGGGTTTAGCGACCGGGGAGGATGGGGGTGCACAAACTCGAGCCTGGGGCGCTTAACCCCTTCCTTGCCAGCAGCTTTGCCCGGGGCTGAATCGGGCCTCCTGGGGGGCGTGGCAAGGCTAAAAATGATTCCTGGCTAAAAATAGCCAGTCCTGCCACCCTGGTGGGCAGGGTCCCCCCCCCACTCCCTCCCTCCCTCCCAGCAATTTGCTGACTTGTTTTCTCCTCCTTCCCCGGCGCTGCCATGGCAACGGGGAGGCCGGTCACAAATAACTGGGTCTGGCTTTTTGCCGGGGGCCCCAGAGGCCGCCCCTTGCAGACACATGCCCCTTTCACGGGCTCCCTCCCAGGGTTGGCCAGGAGGGATATTTTTTTTTCCGCTCCCGTCCTGGGCCCTCCCATTTCCTGGCTCCTCCTGTCTGAGTCCCAGCCGGGCCCCCGGAGCCCAGTCGGCGGCTGGGATCCCCGCGAGCGAGCGCTCGCACCGTCGTGCCTGCGGGTGGGGAGCCCGAGCCTTGGGGGTGCTCCCTGCAGGCCGCCCCGGCCCAGGCGGGGCCCCGCGGAGATGCTCCGAGGCATGTACCTCACCCGCAACGGGAACCTGCAGCGGCGGCACACGATGAAGGAGTAGGTGCCTCCCGCCCGGCGCCCGGCCCGGGCACCCAGTAGGTGCCACCCTGGTCGGCGCCCGGCCGCCCGCTGACCCCCTTCTCTGCTTCCGCCCCCAGGGCCAAGGACATGAAGAACAAGCTGGGCATCTTCAGGCGGAGGAACGAGTCTCCCGGGGCCCAGCCGGCGGGCAAGGCAGACAAAATGGTCAAGTCATTCAAGTAGGTCGGGTCTGCACCCCGGGGTCCCCAGGGGAGCGGGGCTGGTGGGGCGCTAAGTGGAGAGGGGGGTTGGGCTGGATCCAGCTCCCCGTGGGCTGGAGGCTGTCTCTGAGGGAGCCTGGTACCCGGCAGGCAGGGGGAGACGGGGACCAGCTGCAGGGGGAGACCGGCCAGGCAGGGGCAGGGGTGGGAGCCCGAAGTGATGCGGGCCCAGGGAAGGGGGGTGGGCTCCCCAGCTGGGCTCGGCCACCGCCCAGGGCCAGGGGCAGCTAACAGGCCCCCCCGCCCCGCCCCCCGCCCTTGCCTCACTGCGCCCCTTCCCTCGTCCCCCAGGCCCACCTCAGAGGAAGCCCTCAAGTGGGGTGAGTCCTTGGAGAAGCTGCTGCTTCACAAATGTAAGTGGGGGCCAGCCGGCCTGCTCCCCGCTCCCCTCCGGGTGTCATCTCCCTCCCTCTCCCCCTTCCGCCTCTCGGGACTGTGGCCTTCCCTCTTTCCTGGGTGCCAGTCCGGGGCCCCCCCGCTGTGGGGAGAGGCCGGGCCCTTGGGCTGGCCTTGGAGCCGGCTCCTGCCAGCCCCTCCCCGTCCACGGGAGCTGGCCCAGCCCGCAGGAGGCCGCGGCGACCTGTGCGCTCAGGCCCGGATTCCCAGAAGAGCGATAAACATTTCCAGGGACCGAGGGCTTACACGGGCCAAGGGTGCCCGCAGCTCATGGGCACGGCCCCTCTGATCCTCGCAGGGCTCCAGGAACTGGCTCGTGAGCCCCATTTTACAGATGGGGGAACTGAGGCACAAACCGGGGAGAGACGTGAGCCTTGGAGAGGCAGCGGCAGGGCCGGGCCGCATGCCGGGGCTCCTGGCTCTTGGAAGTGGTTACCTTACCAAGCTCCCAACATCCCAACATCTGCACCCTAAGAGACCCCCGAGAGGAGGCTAGGGGGTCCCAGAGGGCAGGAGGGGCTGGTTCTGCTCCTCACCCCAGGGCCTGGGCTTCTCGCCACAGATGGGTTAGCCGTGTTCCAGGCCTTCCTTCGCACCGAGTTTAGTGAGGAGAACCTGGAATTCTGGCTGGCATGTGAGGACTTCAAGAAGGTCAAGTCACAGTCCAAGATGGCGGCCAAGGCCAAGAAGATCTTTGCTGAGTATATCGCCATCCAGGCGTGCAAGGAGGTAAGGCCTCAGGCCCCTCAGCCCACAGCTGGTGGCCTCTCAGTGGCCTCGAGGAGCTCAGGAAGGGGAGAGGCGAGAGGGATGCTCGGGGACCGTGGTGTGGCCAGGGTGGAGAGGAAGCAAGCCCAGGGCCCCGGGAAGGACAGATCTCCATTGGTAACAAATCAGAAAGGCCGCTGTCGGGCGCTCTGTGCCAGGCATGTGCTGAGCCCTTTATGTGTGAACTCTTTTATCTGATCCTCATGACAACCTGTAAAATGGGTTCAATATTATCTTCACTTTAAAAACGAGGCGACAGGAGGATCCCTGGGTGGCGCAGCGGTTTAGCACCTGCCTTCAGCCCAGGGCGTGATCCTGGAGACCCGGGATCGAGTCCCACGTCGGGCTCCCTCCCTCTGCCTGTGTCTCTGCCCCTCTCTCTCTCTCTCTTTCTCTGTGTCTCTCATGCATAAATAAATAAAATCTTAAAAAAAAAAATAAGGCGACAGTGTCTGCTGAGGTCAGAGGAGCTAACATCTATTGAGTGCTTACTGAGTGTCGGGTACTGTGGGCAAAGTCGCAGCGGGTGATCTGTTGATCTGCTCGGTCTGTGTTTCCCGTGGATGACCTTGCTTCGTCTCTGCCACTCTTTGAGGGGTACACCACTCCTCCTAGCCCGCGGACAGGACAGGCGGGCCTCGGAGCACTCATGTGATGTGCTCAGGGTCCCGGGCCTAGGCACGGCGCCGCCGGGATTCCAACCAGGCAGTCTGACCTTAGAGGTGTTTTCAGGCCCTATAAGCTACCAGCCCTACAGTGAGCGACCCGGCCAGGACTTGGGCCACTGACCCGAGGGCCTCCACTCTGAGACTTAAGACGTGGAGCAGAGGGGCTCGGAGGTGACAGGCTGGGGACGGCCCGTTCCTGGGCCCCCGCCCCGGGGTCGGCCCCCTGCAGGTGGGCCTGACTGTGCTGCCCTCCCCCCTCCACAGGTAAACCTGGACTCCTACACCCGAGAGCACACCAAGGACAACCTGCAGAGTGTCACCCGGGGCTGCTTCGATCTGGCGCAGAAGCGCATCTTTGGGCTCATGGAAAAAGACTCGTATCCACGCTTCCTCCGCTCTGACCTCTACCTGGACCTCATTAACCAGAAGAAGATGAGTCCCCCACTTTAGGGGCTGCCAGGGTCGAGCCCCGTGTTCACACCAGGCGGGCTGGGCCCCCTTCCCACCTGCCTCTCTCCCTCTGCGACGGAGGGGGCAAGCAAGCCCCCAGAGGCTGTGTCTCCGGATGGACAGACGGGCATTCGGATGAGAGACCTGGACCGAGAGAGGCCCAGGCCACCGGAGGAGCAGAAGGACTGGCCCCGTTGGGTCCCCACTGCCCCGGTACGAGGGGGCCCGAGGGCCCTGGCAGGTCAGGGGCCCTGGCTGAGCCAGACCTGGAGCTGCTGCTCTGTGCTGCGTAGACTCAGCATTGACCAAGTTCCTTAAAGAACTGGCTGATGGGGCAGGGGGCCTGGCTGTGGGCTCCAGGGATCTCCCGGGGGAGGCCACTGGGGCTCGCCACTCCGACCCCGCCTTGAGTTTTATTTATTTAAATAGTAGTCGGATGCTTGGCACGTCGTCCTGTTATAGGAAATTTTTGCCTCATCGGTTTTCCTAATTTACAAGTGCAATATTTTAACCAACGCCTTGTGAAAAGCCACCTCGCCGAGAAGGTGGACACCACTTTCCAGTTTCAGGGGAGTTGCTGGTCCCAGGCACCAGCAGTGGGCAGCTGGGCCTTCTGGACTCATGCGGCCTGGCGGGGTGTGGGTGCTTCCGTGGGAGCTCGCACAGAGATCCAGCACCCCCCCCCGCCCCCACCCACCGAGGGAAGTGCCCCTCAGGGGCTCTGGGAAAGCATGGCACCCTTGGACCACACAGCAGCCAAGTTCTGGAGCAAATAAAAGGCCTGTGTTATTTCTCATTCGTGTGTTCCTGGGTCTTGAGCTTTCCCAGGGTGACTGGGGCTCGGGGGGCTGGGGTCAGTCTGGCTTCTCCTCTCTCGCCATCACCCGCCTCCCACCCCAGAGCCACAGACATGGTGCCCTGGGGCTTGCGGCTCACTGACCGCTTCCCCGGGCTAGGCATCCTTGTCCGTCTACCGTCTCACCTTCCCACAGCCTGGGAGGTGGGGGTTAGGCCCATTTCACAGATGGGGACAGTGAAGCATGGGCAGGTAAGGTGACTCGTCCAAGGTCATATGGCTGGCGAGTGGCAGAGACCGGGTTCTGCCAAAGCCCAGCCATAGCGCCTGTACTCCGGATTGCTGTCCTCTGCTTGCCACAGGATGGAGGCCTAGCTTGGCCACCATACTAAGGCTGGTTGGCCGAGGTGGAGGAGGCCAGCGTCTCAGGCAGGGCAACGGCTGCAGATGGACAGGTCCGTGGACACCTTTAGGACAGAAGGGAGATGTGGGCAGGTGGCAAGGCGTGGGGCTTACAGAGAATCCCTCCGTCTCCCTGGAAGGCTTCCCACTCTGCACCTAACAAGAGGTGCAAATTTAGGCAAGGTGTGTCCCAAAGCCGCATTTCACTGGAGGCCTTGCATCACTTGCTTGGAGGAGATGAGAGAAGAGCCTGGAACCCAGGCCAAGCTGATGCCAAGGCTGGCCCCCGGTGCCCCCTCCTACAGCCTGCTGGGGGCTGGGGCTCGGGCACGGCCTGGAGTGGGGGCCCCCAGTGCCCCCTCCTGCAGCCTGCCGCGGCCTGGGGGCTGGGGCTCGAGCATGGCCTGGAGTGGGGTCATCCATTCAGAGCAAGGGTGTCATCCAGGCCTGCGATTGGGAACCTGACAGCTGGGAAAACAGACCCCGAGGGGAACACAATAGCCCTCCTGTTCCTCCCAAAACAGGGCTAGTGGCAGGGCCGGACGGAGGTCAGGACTGGAGGCCCGGCCTCCCTGAGGTGTCTTCCACTTGGAGGAGACACAGGGCCCCAGAGGCTCACCTTCCCCTTCAGGTTCCAGGGACATAGCCTGGGGCCAAGCCCTCGGCCTTCCCACCCCCGGTTGCCACGGAAACCAAAATCCCGCAGAGCAAAGTCAGGCAGATGGAATTCCCATTTCGGAAGGCCCCACTGCCTGGTTTCCATTACTCACACTGGGTCCCTTGGCCCGGAGCGGCTTTGGCGACGCCGAGCAGCTGGAGAGCAGACTGGAAAGGTGCCTGCATCCTCCTCGCCCTGGGCCCTGCCTGGGCTCCCCAGGGACCTTGCGTAGCGCCCTCCCCGCTCAGGCCTCACTACTGTCACCTATACCGCGTCTGGGCTGCTCTCAACTTTTTTTTTTTTTTTCAACATGCGAGGAGGGACCAGACCCCTTGCCGTCTGTCTGGCAGTCCCAGGCTGGTCAGTGTGGGATGTGAGGGCAGCGAGGTCGTCGTGTCCAGGCCCCTTCCCAGCCTACAGATGGGAAGACTGAGGCGTAGGGAGGCAAGCAGCCCTTCGGGGAGGTGAAAGGCCCAGGCCCCGGCTCCATGGCTTCCATGGCTAACTACCAGCTCTCAGTCTTTGAAAAAAAAATCATCTTTGCCTCAGTTTTACCATCTGTAAGTCGTGCTCATTGGCACCTATCCAAGAGCTTGGGGGACCAAGTGAGGTCAGCCCAGTGCCTGGCGCAGGGATGTGCTCCTTCGTCGCTAGCTGCTGCTGGTGACATCATTATTGAGGGTCACGGGGAGGTGAGAGCTCCTCCGGCGTTGTCAGGCCCAGGCCCTGCCCTGATCAGGGCGGCCAGGGAGCCTTCAGGCTCAGACCCCGGATCGCTGTCCTTCCAGGAACGTTGAGCTGGAGGGCAAAGCCGGCCTGTTCTGGGGAGCGTCAGCCACAGCCCGCACCGCTCAGCCTGGCTCGGAGCAGCTGGGGTCAGCCTGCAGACACGGAGTGAAGGGTGGGAAGGGGAGAGGGCACGGCCGCGGCTCCCGGGTGGATGCCAATGGGAGGGCGCTGGGCCTTGGCCTGCCCGGCCGAGCTTCATCCGCTTCGTTGTGGGCCAGTCGGGTGGGTCCCTCACGCTCTCGGCCTCTTGGCCCAGCCTGGGGCGGGCACGGCCCCCCGGACCCTCCAGCCTGGAAGAGACCACGGGGTCTAAGCTGCTGACTCGTGTGCTTGGGTTCCTGCTTGCATCTTTTTTTTTAAAAAAAAATTTTATTTATTTATGATAGTCACACAGAGAGAAAGAGGCAGAGACATAGGCAGAGGGAGAAGCAGGCTCCATGCACCGGGAGCCCGACGTGGGATTCGATCCTGGGTCTCCAGGATCGCGCCCTGGGCCAAAGGCAGGTGCTAAGCCACTGCGCCACCCAGGGATCCCCCTGCTTGCATCTCTTGCAAGATCTCTTGCAGCTCGAGATCTCCCACGGCAGCCCAGCAGGGCCTGGGAGTCTCCGAGGGTTCTAGAGTTCTTGTGCCCTGTGAAGTCAGGATCCCGGGGTCGGGTGGCATGAGGGGGGCAGGTAAGCAGGTCCCCTGCCCAGATAGGCCCCCTACAGGCTCCCTGGTTCTCCGGTTTCACTCCTCTCTGCTCCCCCCACCCTCCCCAAACTCCTGGGCACTCGCCACCCCCATGTCTCTGCTTTGCTCCTCTGGTCCTTACCCTCCTGTCCCCCCCCAGGTCCCTGTCGCTGCCATCCTACTCTAGACAGGCTCCCTGGTTCACCCCTCTGCTCCAGCTGCTCCCTCAGCTCCCCGGCCCTCAGGCAACACACCCTGGGCCTCCGACAAGTGCTCTCATGCTGTTGTGTTGCTGACATCTGTGAAACATCTGGCTCTGCCTCGCCTCTCCCCGGCAGGGCCAGACAGGAGGGAAGGGGGTACCGGGGCCCCCTGCGGCCAGGGTCGCCCGGTCCTTGGGATCCTTGGGTCGCAGGAGAGAGTGGAGGTGAGGAAGAGCTTCAGGGCGGGTCCAGGCCCGCTCAGCATGGAGGAGAGTGCGGCTTGGGGGGCCCGCAGCTTGGGGGGCCTGCGCCAGGGGCATCCGTGCCTTAGCTCCACGTCCCTGCAGCCGGCCTGGGCAGTGCTCAGTGCTGTTTTCCTTTTATAAGTGAGAAAGTTCATGGTCAGGGAAAGTGGGAGAGTATGTTGTGGCCAAGCCCAGGCTGGGTCCCTAATCCCTAACGTTCGGGCAGCATCACCTCCAGCAGGTCGGAGGGAGTTAGTGGGGAGCACAGGTTCTCCTTGTCTCCAGGACACAGCTTTTCTTTTCTTTTTTTTTTTTTTAAGATTTTATTTATTGATTCATGAGAGACACAGAGAGAGAGAGAGGCAGAGACACAGGCAGAGGGAGAAGCAGGCTCCTTCACCTGGACCCGGGACCGCGACGACCTGAGCCACCCAGGTGCCCCAGGATAGGACTTTTCTCACGAAGGTCGTGGGCCTCACGTGTGGAGATACCTGGCCCTGGGCTGAATCTCAGTTCTCCATGGAGCTGTCGATAAATTGCCTTACTTTTCCGAGCCTCGGTGGTGTTGTCTATACAATGGGTATAACAATCCCACCTGCCGGGTCTCACAGGGACTCGGTGAGATAACGAATCTGTGTAACCCTCAGCACAGGACCAGCCACGGAGGGGGCGCCCCACGGAGGCGCAGGTGGAGGGAGGCCCGGGGCTACCACTGAGCATCCAAGAGGTGAGGTCAGGCCAAGCAAGCAGCTGCGCAGGAGGAAGCCGCCCCCGCATCGGCCCCATGGCCAGTCTCTAGGACAAGGCCACCAGTGCCCCAAGGACAAGGGTGGGGGGCAGGGCCCCAAGAGGGTGGGATTGGGCCCCGGGCCTCAGTGGGCTCCGCAGAGGCCCGCTTGCTGTTTTGAGGCAACTCAATAGCACCCACGCTGTCAGGCAGCTGCCTTCCCTCAGATGGTCCCAAACCTGCGCGTGACTTGGTACGAGACCCTCCGCTCTCTTGCTGGTTTCTTCTGGAAAACAAGGAGAACCGAGCTTGCTTTCTGTCTGAGGACCTTCCGAAGGGGCGCATGGTGCTTGGTGTGATGTGAGGGGCTGGATCCAGGCCAGGTGTGTCTGCATAGGGTGTGCGTGTGCGTGTGCGTGTGTGTGTGTGTTGTTAGGACTAAAAAAAAGGGTTTAGCAACTTCCCCAGATGCCTGGAGGGGCCGCCTGGAGGGAGCCGGCTACTTGCCACCTGCCTCGGGGTCCCCGTGGGTTCATCACCCTCAGACACGGCGCTCCGTGTCCCCCTGCCAGGCCCAAGTGCAGAAGGATGCGCTGGTTATTCACATACTCGTTCCCCTGAGGTCCGCACCCCTGCCACACACACACACACACACACACACACACACACATACACACACGCCAGAACAGCCCCTCTAGGCACCGAGCTCTGGGTCAAAGGCAGAGCTGAGGGTCCCTGCACTTGCAGGGAAGGAAACTCACCCCCATGGTCTGCTTCTGCTGCTACTTTGTGGCAAGACCCTTCCCTCACTGGGCCTCACTTGGCCCATCTGAAAAATGGGTGGGGGGTATTCCAAGTCGAAGGAGCCATCTGACTCTGGTACCTTTTTTTTTTTTAAGATTTTAATTATTTATACACGAGAGACACAGAGGGAAGGCAGAGACACAGGCAGAGGGAGAAGCAGGCTCCATGCAGGGAGCCCAACGCGGGACTCGATCCCGGGACCCCGGGGTCACGCCCTGAGCCGAAGGCAGACGCTGGACCTCTGAGCCCACAGGGGCCCTGCACCTTAGGTTGTATTCGCTGCTCCCTCCGAAGTGCTCCTGCTGCAGGAACTGGCTTGATCCCCAGAATCTGTACCGCAAGGCCGCGGAGGACGGTGACGAGGAGCACGGGCTCCAGACGCTGGCAGGCCCGGGCTCTGGCTCCGACGCTGACTCGCTGTGCGACCGTGGACGAGTCCGTGTCTCGGAGCCACCGGGTCCTCAGCCAGAAAGAAGGGGTCATAACAGGGCCCGCGA